GTTGATGATGATGGTGAAGCTGATGCTGAAGATGATGTTGCCAATGGTGATGATGGTGATGATGATTGTACCCCACTACAAGGCTTTTTATTTCTAAAACACACAATCAGCTAAAAACATGATTCTAGAACATTCTTTCTAAACCAATCTGAACTAGATTCTAATGTGCAAAATTAGTACAAAAGTAGTGTCAGTTTTTACCTAAAAATCTATGCATATAATATTATCTATTTATGCAAATGCACTATATGTATTCTTACTTTAAATTTACATGTATAAGTTTATCTATTTATGTGAATAGGTATACCTATTAATGCATGTAGTTTTATCTGTTTTACATGAATAATTCTAGCTGTTCTAGTGGCAAGGTTCTGCTACATTTTTGTTATGACTAGGGCTAAGTTGCTGAACTTTTAATGAGGCCTTAGGGCCTTTGCTAGTTAATACAGTTTCTTAAGGCACTTGGAATGTATTTCTACTTAAAACCTAAAGCTTAAACTTACTTAAAAGTATAACTTACACTCCTATTTACTTAAAACTTAAACCTACACTTCTACTTTATATTTATGTGGCTTTAGTTTCTCTAAAGGCTTTAGTTCAATTCCTGCATTTATATTCCTCTCTGAGAAGCTCAGAGAGGCTTGCATTCCACCACTTGTACAAACGCATACTGAAACTAAGTTATTGACTCAGGCCTCTTTTCATATCTTGTGCTTTTAGTTTCTTTGGAACATCTACAGGTACTAAAGGTGAAAGCCAAGCTACCTTTCCTTGCCATCATGCCACCAACCAAATTCCCTTCTACTTAAAGTACAGCTTCATGCAAAAATGAGTTGGAGTGAGTGGAACAGGCACTCATTTAGGGAACAGAAAATTATTTTCTTAATTCCATTGTCAAGTCTGGAGCTCCTTGACTTCTGAGGCAAGTTAAGCATTGGCAGGAGAAGGTACTGGGGGACACAGACACTGGTCTGCAAAGCCACAGCTCTGTCTGTGTCCAGGCTGTCAGGTCTGCCAGCACTCCAGGTCAGCACATCACAGGAAAAAGTGATGACCACCCAGTCCTCATCAAATAACGGGAAGCTGATGGTATCAATATGGGGCCAGATCATTCCATAACGACGGACAAAGACAGCCAAAGGGCTGAATGCAAGTGCTTCTATCTACAGACACTAAAAGCTTGCTGTTGGTTTCCTAAAAAAAATACAACAAAAAAAACCCCAGCAACAACAACAAAAAACCTAACAACCCAAAAGCTAAGCCTTTAGTAGCTATCATGTGCTTCTCAGATGACACCTGGTGGACAAAAGCTAAAGAGATGAAAGCATTCTGCTTTCATAGTGCAGAACCTTGAGCCTTACTCATTACTGCACTTACTGCAGGTGCACTTATCAGCTGTCCTCCATACTCTGCTTATCCACCCCATGGCCCCAGTCCATTATAACAGTTTCCCAGAATAAGCACTTATCACCCATGTATCTTCAACAGATTTTTTTCAGCATTCATATCCATTTTCTTTATTCTTTTATTATTATAGTGACTCATGTCCTGAGTTTGTTTAGTTCTGACTTGCAAGTCTGAGGCTAGAGTGGACACATCATTTCACAAATAAAAATATAGGGAAAGCACATGGTAGCAGCAACAGGGTGCTTTTATGGCATGGGATAACTAGACAATTTTATGAATGCCTTCACAAGTTGCAACTCAGAGGGTTAAAGGCTTTAGTTTATTCTGATTTACTCTTTTAAACTAATTCCATTTTGCTTCTGTTACAGTGTCTATCTTTTCTGCAATTGCCCTAATGCATCCCTGTTGAGATCTCGGAAATAACTTAGTAATATAAAGAGAGGTGAAAAAAGTACTCTGAAGAGAAGTATGTACTTAGAAAAGTGTTTCTTATGGGGATGCTTATATCTTGTGGTGAAACAGATGGTTTCCTCAAGATCTCATGCATAGGAATATTAAGTTCTGGTGCAGTCCTGTTTCTCTATTTGGCTCAAAGGATTTTAGAAAATGTCAGATACTCCTGAATCAATGCTGTGACATATGAGGCCTCTGCCATAAATAAGGTGACCATGATCAATTGTTTGATTGCTGGCATTGCATCTTCCAGGTATGGTCCTGTTATTTGCTTTTTTACCTGTTCTATGTATGCTCTATTTCTTTAAATGTTAACAACTTTATTTTTTCCTCGGTGCATTTCCATGCCTTCTTTTTGTAGCAAATCTTGGAAGATTTTATGAAGCAAAACACACAGAGAAGTCAGGGATTCATTGTCTTCAAACACCAAGCTAAGCTGAAAAATAATGTGGAGAGGTCAGAAGGAAATTATATCATTATCTAGATTGCTTCTTCTGGATGCAGATTACCTGTTTCCCTGTTTGGCAAAGTGGCCACCCAATACTTGTGGCACTGTATTTTGTCTGGTTGAGGCGGAGGTAACATTCAAACAGCTGTGCTTTGTGTTTGTAGCCACAATGGCTGAGACCACTCCTGACATCAGGGCTGTATCTCCAATACCTCCCACGAAGGCCAGCAGGCCTGGAGCATGCAAAAGGCTGGGAAGGGAGAAACAGTTGAGACAGCTGGCCCAAAGTGACCAGAGGGACACTCCATGCCATATGATGTGTAAAAACAAAATCTAACGGGCAGTGAAATTTTGTTATTAAGGTGTTTGTCTTCTAAAGCAACTGCTACATGTACTGGAGCCATAGTCCCAGGAAGTAGCCGAACATCACCTGATAAGAGCAATTAGAGAATGATTTTTTTTGCTTTCATTGTGGTCTTTGCCTTAATCTCAACCAATGAGTTTTTAATCTCATTTTCTTCCCCTGCCCGCCTGAGCAGAGTAAGTGGTGGAGCATCTTTGTGGAGTCAGTGCTGGTGTCCAGCCAAGGTGAACCCACTGCAGGCATATCTTGGCTGAAATGAAGCTTTCTCCACAAAGCCAGGGTTCATCTTTATATCAGCATGTCTGAGTGTGGATGTCTGAGTCCCTGCTGTCCAAAGCCAGAAGTAACCAAATCTAACTATGCTCTGATACCTGAAATATCCCTGCATATAGTTTTCAGACCAATGCTGTAAAGTCCTCAGGATTCCGAGTAACTCACATGTAAAACAGTCATAAAGTTTGACCAGCCAGAAACTGGTGAACTACTGAGTTACACTATGATTGGAAGCAGCTTATTGAAGCACTTTCTGAAAAAAGGTGCCTCCTGTAGAGCAGATCCTCACCAGTGACCCTGGTTTGCTGCTCACAGTAACAGGAAACTTGGAAGGGCTGACAACCATCAAAAAAAGCAAATGCTAACACAACTTATTTTTTTTTCTCTTACACCCAATAGTGAAGACCAAGGCAAAGACGACTTTGAAACACTGCAGAAAAGAGAATACTTTTACAAGCCTTTCAGGTAGCAATCTGTGAGAACAACCCTCTTTATTCATGCTGAAGAGTATTTGCATTCGCAGGGTTTGATATGTTCTCCTTTTTAATTTCTATTCAGCAAAGTATTGAGAACAAGTATAGTCATAAAATACGAGGAAAAAATTATCTGGAAAGTGCTGTTAAAAACATCAATTAGGCAATACAATGTCTTCAGCATAGCCCTTCGGGCAACATCTGTGAATGTGTTTGTGTCCTGTAGCCAGGAAAACACCGGTTCCTAAAACCTTTGTAGCCGGAAAGCCACTGGATAAATAATTATTTCTGTTCCACAGAAATGTTAGATGGCAATTCGTTTGAAAGTTTGACTTGCATATATGAGTGAAAAACAAGATCTTCAGAGCCACCAAGAATTCATTGAATCTCGTGGAACTCTTCACATTCTGACAGAATAATGAGATACATCCCGGTTTTCCTGAAGTAAGCAATCCATACTGTGAAAAACACCAGTCACTTAGTTATTAAACTTTTAAAAGTTTAATAACAATAAAATGGTTATAAAAATAATAATATAATTAGAGCAATAAAGTTTGGAGTTAGGACAATTACAAGATAATAAAAGAATTACGGACATCTGGATGCTCTCAGACATTAAGTCATGAAAAGAATGCCTTGTGAACAAAGGAATCACCCTTAAAACAATACACTGTTGCATATTCATATATCCTTCATGGTTATGCATTTATTTAAAACGAGAAACTCTGCTGTATGTCAACTGTTTCCTTTAATCCCCACAGCGTCTTCGAATGTGAGCAAGGCCTGAAGAAATTAGCTTCTTCTAATATGAGAACCATAAATTCCTTTTCTTTGGAAGATTTAGGTGTTCCTCGAAGCGAGTAACTGATTTAAAAAAAAAAAAAAGAAAAAAAAAACTCCCCCCACATACACAGTCTCTATTTTAACATTATGTCGGAACCTAAAGCTATGTATTATGTCGGAACCTAAAACTATATTTAACACACTACTTAAGCGAATTAATACAGCATAACTTTCTAACATTACACATATAATGTTATAAGTTGAGGCGAATAATTTGATTCAGCCTGTTAAGATCAATTAATAATTTTATTAATTACAGCAAGCGATAGCAAGCAAAACAGCGCTGGGTTCAGCTGGGAGCCTGGCTCCGCCAAAAGCTGACAGCCTTTCCTTCTCTTCAGTCCCTTTTTATCTTGCATGAGTGGGGGTGGTGAGTCTCGTTCCACCGTGGTTATCAGTCCCAAAAACAATGGTTTTCACAAGTGGGGTGGTGTGTCTCCTTCCACTGCGGTTTATCAGTTTTCAGCAACAATGGGTTTCCACTGCGGTTATCAGTTCCAGCCAGTCCTGCAAAATCTTTCACAATCTTTGTTTGTGGTTACCAGTCAAGCCTGCAAATTCCATGTCCCGACTTCCCCCCTTTTATCCTAATTTCATACTTTTGATGAACAAACAAGTCAATGCAGTTTCTCACATATAATATCGACTGTAATGTTTACGACACGCGTTTTCCAGAACGCGCCCCCCGCGCCGCGGGAAGCGGCCGCGCAGGAAGGAGTTAATGGCGGCGGCGCGGGTCCGCCCCTCAGGGGGCGGCGGCAACATGGCCGCGCTGGCGCCGGCGCTGGCGGCGGCGGCGGGCCGGCTGCAGGTAAAGGCCGCCGGCACCTCGGCACCCCGGCACCCCGGCCCCCCGGCACCCCGGCATCCCGGCACCCCGGCATCCCGGCACCCCGGCCCGGAGGAGCGCTGGGCCGTGCGGGTGTGTCGGGCTGTGACACAGCGGTGCCCTGTGGCAGCCCTTCGGTGTGGCGGACTTGGCGTTTCTCTCCCGAACGTTCGTGCGTGCGGGCGTGTCACGCCCCTCACTCCAGTTTCGTGCCCCCGCCGCTTAAATTTACTTGAACCGCGTTGTGGTGTTGTCTGCTTGAAAGTAACCTACGAGCATTACAAAACAAAACAAAACAAACAAAAAAAAAAAGGTTGTTAATAACGATTGATTTTGTTATCTACAGAATGAGAGCTGTTCCAGTACTGCAGGTGCTGGCCGACAGGTTCAGAGCTGGAAGACCAAAACTGAACGAGCTAAGAAAGTTGAATTCATAAGAACTGCAGAAAAACTAAAAGCTCAGTAAGTTAAACACTTTATCATAAGTACTTTTCCATTCCGCTCTGGAGGTAACATTATTTACTCGAGGTTCAAAGTAAGAATATATGGTAATGAAATCTTTAGGCTAAAGGTATCCTTTTCAGGAGGTCAAATTATTGTGGTTATTACAGTAGCTCAGGATAGGCTTATGAGCTCCAAAATGCCCTGTTTGAATTACCATTTGGACTTATGCCAGTCATGTAGTAAGACTTTAGACTAATTGCTGCTCTTAGGTTCACCAGAAAAGGAAGTGTGTGAGGCACAATTGAGTGCTCAGTCTTCCTACTTACCTGTGCTTACCCTCTAAGGACCTAAAGCCCTTAAGACATACCTGCAAAAGGGGAACTGCAGTAACAGAAGATTGAAATACTTGTCTAGAATATCTAGGCCACTGTTTTGAAAAACAAGGGTTCAAGACAGCTCAGGCACAGAATTAATTTAAATCTGCTTCCCCACATCTTGACCAAGTGCTGATGACAACTACACTGGCAGCTGAAAGAACAGGGAGTTTTCTTCTCAAACAGATGAGCTTTATGAGGAATAGCTAATGTAGCCATCTGATTGAAGGAGAGGTTTGCAGTTGTGAATCCTGATTGAACAGGGCACTTAAGTCTCACAACAGTGTTTTACACCGTGTGGCTGAATCGAGTTCACCTTGATTACCCTGGATCCTGGGTTATGGCTGAAAATTTGACTGCTAATGTAATGTCATGTTCCCAAGACACGTGAAGTGATGCATGCCATTTAACTGTGGCTCAGCATCCCTCTGTAATGTTATCTGTGCTGGGGCTCCATCTAGGTGTGCCACGGCATTAATACAGCCTGTCTGCCTGCACTTCCCAAGGAAAACTCTGGCAAGGCTCCCAGGGAGAATGCATGCACATAAAATTTCAGTGTGTAAACCACTGCATGCCACTAAAATGATTTCCTTGTTAATGTCTTGTTAAAGTTTTTGGGTTACTGTGGCGTGTAGTCTAATAGCTGCAAAAATACTTTCCTTGAAAACAGTTGTAGAACAAACCAGGGATTTGTATAAAGTCCAAGACAGTCCTGTTAACACAGCCTGCACACTAACCTTGGAAAATCTTGGGGCTTTGCTGAGTGTTTGTGCCTTACTCACTGTGGTACCCTTTCTTCCTAGGCTTGCAAATATAGAAAAAGAAAAAACTGGACACCTTTATAATAGGAAGAATGATTTCAGGGTAGAATACAGATTGCTAGAGGAACTGGAACACAGCATGACTGTCAGCAGGAAAATGGAGAGTAAGTGAGGTTTAATTTGGGCTTGTTTGCTTTTTTTTAATATGCTGTTTTTGTAAATGGTTTAAAAATCAGTAGTACAGAGAGATGAGTTTAGAAGGAAGATACTGATAAATACTGATAAATGTGGTATTTCACCATGTGCTTATAAACAGACATGTCACTGCAAAATTCAGAAGCATAAACATTTTTGGACTCATATGTTATTAACTGTTATGTTTTAATCTTCATTGTAAAACCACTGTGGTTGAAAGGTACGGTTCAAGAAACTTGGAATCAATTTTGTGTGTATATTGCAAAACCCAGTGTAGTCTAGCCAAGGTATAGTAAAAATATTCTTGCCTCAACATTCACATACTGATTGTTGCTTGTTGAATATTCCTAGTTCAAGTAGTGCTGTAAGTTGGTGCACAGTCTGTTCTGCACTATCTGTTCCACTTACTGACTATAATATAGCTCAAGAAAAAAAAGTAGTTACTCCCTTTACTTACAGTGCTTGAATTCTTTCAACAATAATCACATAAATCATGTTATGCCATCTGATACAGATCAGAATAAGTTGAAGAAAGGAAAAAAATGTAGAAACTATTTAAAGTACACTTTCTTACAAATTTGCATTTGTTCTGATGTGCTCCTTTTATTTAAGGAATCTTAGAATATCCTTTATATCTTGCAGTCTTTAAGAAATGTACATTTTTGAGGAATGACTAAGCTAAGAAGTTCAGAATTTTTTGACATGCATAAGAAGGGAGCATGTCATATGAAAGAAATGATGCTATGAGATAATAAAGAAGACAATGATGAGAGCAAGTGTACCACCCCCCCCCCCCCCCCCCCCCCCCCCCCCAAATTCCCATTAACTATGTTGAGGTCTTTCAGCATGATCTGTGCGCTGTAAGATTTTCAGTGGTCTCAGCAGGAATTTGTACTTTCCTGAATCCAAATCTTTTAGGATAGAAGATACAGCTCCTTAGTATCTAAGATGTAGCCAGAATTTCATCCTCTTCAGCAGTGTATTTATGGACTCACGAGGAGCCAAGTGGTAAAAATGCAAATAAGTGCACATGTGCTTGGAGCACATGAAAACATTGATTCTTTGTCATTTAACACACTGAATAAATAAATCTTGTTGAAGTAGTACATTCACATGCACTTTCAAAGTTTGTTTTCTCTTCATAAATGGGTGTTTTGAAGCCTAGGTCAAAGTCTGCCTCAAAACTCTAGAAGCTATCACCTGCATAAGCAATATTCTAAAAGCTCCCCTTTAGAAATGGGAACTAGTAATTTTAAAATCTGCTGATGCTGTGTAGGGAGCTGACATGGACCATGTGGTCAGCTACATGCAATTACCAGTTAAAATGCTCAGTACTATGGCAGTTTCTTATCATCAAACAGAATTTATGTCCCTGCTTAGATCAAACCCCTGGTTTATTTTGGACACTCCATTGCTCTTGTTCTTTTACTGAATTTAATGCATGAAGAAACTATTAGAACTATCAGCACCTTATTTTGTTTAACAGAAGCTAAAATCCTGCAGCAGCTATCAAAAATACAAAACAATGTGAAGAAACTTCAGCAGGAATTGAAAGATGTGAAGCCTACACCAGAGTGTAAGTAAGATAACAGGTTTAAAAAAATTTTCCTCTACAGACAGGTTTTTTGCATAGTTGTCTTTCTTCGGCAGACTTGGGACACTCCTCCATTCTTTAAGATTTTGCAGGAATCTGGAAAGGGAAGACTAAACCTATAAATGGCAGAAACCTAAGAAATTATAAAAGATTGTGCAGTTCTGTGTGGAAACAGAAACGTATTTGGTCTTACAAGTAGTGTGTGTTTGTTCTTTGAGGTTGTTGAAAGCGAGATTTCTTATCTGTAACATTTGCCTTATGCATAATAAACTTCTACTACTATCTGGTAAGAGGTCACAGAGTAGGTTCTACAAGGAACTCATTTCTAGCTTTGACATGGTTTGAAATGTAAATTGGAATATTCCACAGAAAATGCTGCAGCAGTTTGTTCAGTTTGGATGTTTTAAAACATTTTAGAAATAGGTTCTGAAAGAACCATCCTCATGTGATGCCTACTAGCTTTTGTGGAGCTCTGATGCTAGATAAAATTAATCCCATTTCATTTATTCCATGTTTCATCTATTAAAAAAATCATGATCTAATTAAACTGTATATAAGACTTAACTGTCAATTAAGATACTAAGAACTAACAAGGCGTAAAAGCTGAAAAATTAGATTTTGTTTATGTAACTTTACCAAAATACGGGTTTAGTTGAACTGCATTCAGTGTGTCCACAGAGATGTTGGTCTAATTTAAAAGATATTTTAGTCTAATAATATCATCTAATATAATGGGTGGATTTTCTTCTACTGCAAAATATATCTTCTCTGGACAGCTGTATTAAAATCTTAAGTCAGGACTACAGCATGCAGACGGTACAGGACAAAGTCTTACACTGATGTTTCTTCCTCACCTTTGTAAAAGTAGTTGCCTTCAGGTTAAATAGGATTGCTGTAATTGTGTATAAACCAGAGTTGAGTGTGTTTAACTCATGGACTGCATTGCTGTAAGAAACAAAAGTGGAACTCTAGGCTAAGTCTATCTTATTTTGGGTATCAGTTGAAGGTTAGTCAAGGTGAGACTTTTTTAAGAGAAGCAAACATTTATATTGGCATTTGCATCCAGTTAGCTAAGACCTTTCATAAACACACCTTTTGAATAAATCAGAGTTTGTCTTTTTAAGGCTGTTTGAAATGGAAATGCATGCTTTTTTGTACACTGAAATATGTGTCCTGAAAGCCTCCACAAGTCCTGCATTTATGGATAGTGCTGATAAATACTATAGACTTTATATTTATTATTTATCTTTATTGTAGAAGTTATATACTTTTTTCTTCTTTTCCTTAGTTGTTGGCAAGATCAAGGAAATTATGGAAGAAATTGAAAATGCAATCAATGCTTTTAAAGAGGAACAGAGGCAAATGTATGTTTATATATGCTTCAGCTACTAGAAAAGGGGCCTTTGTAAAACACAATGAAAACTTTGCATTAATCTAGCAAACTGTTCTTATGATTTACTCTTTCGGTAGTGATTCCTGTGGTATGTAAATCAAAGCACAAGCTGTCAGCTTTAGAATCTTGATAAACTGTTTTTTAGAGAGGGTGTTTAGACAGCTATTGCAGCATTCCAATGTAACAACGATTTGCCTATGAATAGGCTTTTTAGAGAGGCTGTAGAAGAGATTAGATTGTGGGGAGGTTTTTTTGTTGCTGTTGTGTTTTCTAATCGGGTTTGGGGGGTTTCTTTTGCTTTCTACTGGTGTCAGGAGGGGATTGAGTTAATTGTATGCATGCCATAAATGTGTTCTTTTAGTAAAAGGGTAACTTAATTCTCATTGTGTAGGGCTTTATTACTGGCTCATTACGACTGTGCTGTTACCACTTCATTTCTTAATCTTTGAAGAATAGCTCTTGTGTGGCATTGTACAATTCCAAAATTCATTTTTGGTGAATGGACAATCAATACTTTCCTTACATTTCAATGTTTGTCTCTTTTCAGATATCAACAGCTTTTGAAAGAGGAAAAAGCTGTCATTAATGAGCTCAGTCTCTTTGAGAGAAAAGTGGAACTGTGGGCATTAGGGAACTCAGCAGCAGAAAAAGTTTGGAAATTACCATCAGCCAGGATCACAGTTGCTAAAACACTGGAAAATCATCTACCCAAAGAAGTAATAGAGTTTGAGAGATTTCTTCAGCGAACAGGGGGGCGGCAAGGAGGCTGGGATGATTATGATCATCAAAATTTTCTGAAAATACGGACAAAATATAGAGGAAGGCTATCTTACATGGATGAAGCCCTTAAGCGTCTCAGTGGAAAAACAAAAGAAGATATACAACAGCATGACAAATGGTATCAGGAATATGTAATTTTACATGAAAGAAAGAAAGAGGTAAAATAACCTGTCTAAGGCTTTTGAAGATTTCAGAAAATATACTTATTTTTGAAATGCGTACACGTTTTTGTATCTGCCTCTCTGATCGTAGTGCTAGGCAGATTTCTCTTACAGTTGATGGTCTATAACTGAGATCTTTAGCATCCCCAACCTGCCAAAGTATTTGTCAAAGACCTAACAACCCAAGGAAGTAGTCTGTGTATTGCCAAAGTATATTACAAATGCTTTTGAAGTCTGTCATCTAGCAAGTTAGGTGACTAGTGAGTGATCCTGTCTTCCTGTTACATTTGTCTCTAAGAATGTGTCCCACTATATAAGCAATACACCTAAGACAGACTGATATGCAGAATAATGATTCCCTCAAGAACTATCTAAGTAATAAAAGATATACTGACATAACAGCTACTATAAAACAATGGGTTAATTGGACAGAAAGCAAGAAAGTTTTTTTAAATGCAAATGTTTGCATTAAAAAAGTATATTGCATCAACATTCACAACTACCTGGAGTTATTAGGAATGCTGTACCAGTTTTAGCAGACATCTGTTAAACATGCTTGTGTGATTCATGAAAATAGAAAAAAAAAGAGAGAAAACACATACAGGTTCTTGGTTTTAGGTTCTTGGTGTTCTTGGTTTTAGGTTTTGCCTTCAGTAGATTTTTAATTCCCATATGCATTTTTTGTTCTTGGAACAAATGTCTTCATCAGACTGAATACATTTGAATTTGTGAAAATTTTCCCGAAAACCTTGGAATTTTTTCCTGTGGTCTCTTGCAGTCAATTAAAAAGTGGAAAGAAAAGCAGCAGCAAGAAAAAGAAAGAAACTTCAAGGAGAAAGAGAAATCAGAAAAAATGCTCAAGGAAAGATGGCTACAGCATGAAGAAGCTCAAAAGCAAAAAGCAGAAGAAGAAAGAAAAAGAAAACAAGCCACAGTTGAAGCCTGGAAGAAGCAGAAAGTAGTAGCATTTGCAATAGATCAAGCATCACAACTCAAACTAGAAGAGAAAACAAAAAAGCAACAAATGGAGTGCCAAAGCCATGTGAAGTTACTGTTGGAAAGGAATACCTTGCAAAAAAAAGTAAAGGAGGAACTTGAAAAGTTTGAAAATGAGAAGAAAGAGGAAGCTGAAAAGGAGGGAAGGAAGAAAATTGCTGCAGGAGAAATTTCTAAGTTTCAAGAACATGTGTGTAATTTAACCTCCATTTTTGCACATTGTTGTTTAAAATTTGATACGTCCTACTACAATATAATCACTTAGATTTTAAATTCCAAGTATCATTCATCTAAATCTATTATTTATTCCTTACAAATAACAGCCTCTATTGCAGATAAACAGTATGAAACTTGATTTTAGACAAAGATGATTCTTTTCTTCAATATCTAAATTCTACAGGATTACTCAAGCTCATATTTCTTTATCCATATAGAAGCGGGTTTATTTCTGCAGTAAATAATTTTTTTGAGAAAAACTTCTTGGGCTATGTTGCCTAAGAAGACTTCAGAGGACTTGAGTATTTTATTCAGATGGGAGGTGGAAAGAGTTTGAATATCCTGCGGGTTTCAGTACCTGTTAGGCAAAGTCAGACCCCGTATCAATGTAAATGCAATTACTGGAGGATTGATATTATTGTCAGCATTCGTACTAAAGTTTTATAGACAGAGTTTAAACTACTACTTTTTTATTTCTAAGCCATGTAATGTAACCAGAATTTGTTTGTGCAGGAAATAGCATGCTATAGCATGTTTCACCTAGTGAAACCTTATTCTTTACTATCACAATAATTTCAGAACAAAAACAAACAAAAAACCAACCAACGATAAAAAAAACAAAGCAAAAAGCTGTGGAAAGGCTGCATGTATAGTTTTATATCATTTGTTTTACTTCCAAAGAAAAATTTTCCACTCATTTATGTTTCAGGATCTACATAAACTGGAGCTAAGCATTTTACAGAAACATGCTAAAGAGATAGAGAAACAAGAAAGAAAAAAGAGATTGGCAAAGTTAAGAGAGAAGGTAACTTTTTTGTTTGTTTTAACCAGAGATGTGTGCAGCTTGGTTGTTTAAGCAGACTTTTTTCTCATTGATCTAAAATTGGTTTTTATTATCTAAATGGTTGATAAAGGAAATCAAAAAGTCATGCGTGTTATCAGTAACTAGAAAGAATTGCAGCAGGCATAGTTGCTCCTGTGTAAAAAAACAGGGAAAAATCCCTAGAATTTACGTCTCTCAAAGTAATATTGCACTGGGTAAGGCCTGTAAAAGTGAGTTCCAATGTGGGTGATGGATTTAATTTTTTCAAATAGTTTCCTACCATTAGTTAAATACGTGGGGCTGTCTCCCAGAAGTGTCTTGCATACACTGGGTTTAACAGTTTAACCTTTTCTATTATTAAATTATTAAAATTTAATGACGGCAAGCGGTGTCACTATCTTCTATGGTGAAGAAGCAATGAGTGCCTTTTGTGATGAATGAAAAAGGCTGATTATTTTTGGTTGTTTGTTTCACTCTGAGGTCGAGGTTCGTGTCACCAAAGACCGATCCACGTTGAACCGACCTTCCAAGGGCTGGGAGGAACGGAGGCAAGAGATGGCACCAGCAGCTGCAGGACCGCTGCTGCGCGTTTCTCAGAGGTGAGGAGGGAGCCGGTGGACATGCAACATAACACAAGCGCACTTTTATACTTTAAGCTGTTTTGTTTTCTTGCCAGAGCTGTCCCAGCCTGCAGAGGAGGGTCGTAGCTGCGCACCAGCCTGTCCCTGCCGCAGTGTGAAGCAGCAGCCAGCACTTCCCGGCACAGAGCTGGCGTGTTTTGCGAGTGTCGGGTTTGACACGCCGGCTGTCGCGCCGGCCGGCTGTGATGTCCCTTGGCATTAAAAGCGCGTTGTCCCCGCAGCTGGTTGTGGCGGCTCAGTAAGCGTGGTCACCAGCCTGGCTGCCGCCGCAGTGAACTGCGGCGCCTCTTCCCTTTTCCCCCGCCTTTCCCTTCTTTCCCGCTGCGTCCCGTTTCCCCGCCCCGGGGCGGTGCCGCGGGTGACGCCATCGGGGCGCGCCGGGCGCGCGCAGCAGCGGCGAGATGGCGATGGCGGCGGCGCCGTGCCCGGCGGAGCCGGAGCGGCTGGACTTCCTGCGGGAGCGGCACGTGCGCTTCTTCCAGCGCTGCCTCCAGATCCTGCCCGAGCGCTACTCGTCCTTGGAGACCAGCAGGTAGCAGCAGGCCGGGCTTCTCCGGCGGGAGGCGGGACGGGCGCCGCCGTGTCCGCCCGGCCCGTCCCGGGCCCGGCCGCGCTCCCCTCCCGTCGGGCGGTCGCGGTGACGGGAAGCTGCTCCCGGAGCGCTGCCGTCTCTCGCGGCCGGGAGGAAAAACATCCCTGTAAATCTGTCCCACCAGCGGACGGCTCCCAAAAAATATGTGTTAATGTAGGGGTGTAGTCACTGCTCGCGGAAACTGCTTGGCATCCACGACGGAAGACTTGTTGATCCTTCTAATCTGTTTTAAATCCGGTGCTTCTGTCTCTTAATCTGCTCTGGAAGCCATTTAAAAATAAATCGCCTAAGCTTTACTTCAGTTTGCGGAAGACTCCTTTTCATGTAACAAATATTTTTAAGTTTTCGTTACCTAGTATGAAAGAGAAACTTTTAGTAAAATATGTTCTTCACTTTGAATTTGAGGGACATTTGCTCCTCTAAAGGCTTCAGAATGTACTTATTTGATGTTCTTACACCATAAGTGTAAGAATACCAGTAATGTGGTTATCAAGCTGCGCTTGCTAAAATATTGGAGACAAGTAGATGGTATGATAATATCATTCAGCCAATAAAATAGTGAGATTCTTCCCAGTTTATAATGTCTGACAAGTCATCCTCTGCAGAATGCTTCATGGCTTTGATCCTGCTTTATTTTGGTTGAGAGCACAGATACCTGGCATAAACATGTAAGGACTAGAACAGATTAGTGCTGAGCTGTGTGTGAAGTAAGACAACTTTATACTGAAAAGTTAGAAACTGATCTCCTGGAGAGAGGTCAGCAGAGGGTTTAGGAGATGATTAAGGGGTTGAAGGGTCTGTCCTGTGAGGAAGGGTTGGGTAAGCTGGGCCTGTTCAGCCGTGAGAAGACATGACTGAGAGAGGCTCTTGCCAATGCATTCAAGTATGTTAAAGGGTAGGTGGTGAGAGGATGGGGCCAGAGTCTTTAAGTGGTCCTGTGACAGGGCAAAAGGCAGCAGACAGAAACTCAGGAAGGTCCATCTCTATGAGAGAAAACTCACACTGGGCTGATTGATGTGGGCGGTGGAGAAGACAAGCACCAAATCAATATGATTTATAAGCAAGCTCCCACTTTATTCAAAGATAACTTAGCTTATATAGGGTATTCCACAAGCATAGTCAGCAGTAAGCTCTAATTGGTTAATTTACAAAGGTCTTTGTTTTATTTCTCTTACGTGGGATTACAGATGTGGTTAAGTTTTCCTAGCCAAGTTGTCATCTCTAAGTCATGTCTTCCAAGGACAGAGCATATCTTTGAGGCTATGCCTGTCCTTATTATCTCATTCCCAGTCCTTGTACAATGCAGTTTCCCAGGCCTCGAAATAGAAACTGTTTCCCAAGCTCTGTTTCAAGGTCAGATACAAGTCTGATTCTGGGGTCTTAGAAAGCGGTTTTATGGAACAGGTATTGCATAGAATAATGGCCTTGTTCCAACAACCATTCCCCAATAGCTGATCACTGAAACAGACTGCCCAAAGAGGTTGTGGAGTTTTCTTCCTTGGAGATAATCAAAATCTGCCCGGACACAATCCTATAGAAACTGCTCTGGGTAAATCTGCATTAGGAGAAGGGGGTTGTATGAGAGGATCTTCAGAGGTTCTTTCCAACCCTGGCTATTCTGTAATTTTGTGAAATTTTGATTGCAGAGCTGTAGATCATTTCTTCATTAAAAATTAGCTGGTGTTTCAGTCTACTTTCTCATTTATTTTAGGTGACAGCAAGGGGAAATCTAGGCACATCCTGTGCCTAACTGTGTATAGGCCATAAAATGACCACAACATGCAGATGTACTAGAGCAATAACACAAATAGCTAACTTTAGCCCCACTGATATTTGAAAAGAGCTAAAGAAATGGGATGTCTTCAGCCTAGAGAAGGAGGGATCTAATCACAATCTTCCATGGATGGTAAACTACTTACAAAGAAAGACGGAGGTGTACTGTTTGCAAGGAATGATGGTGCCAAGGCAGGAAGCTGTGGGAATGAGGTACTTGGGGGAGAATTGTGTGGCTGTAGGAAAAGTCTTCTTCACTATTAGAAGAGGTAACCATAAAAAGCTTGTCCATTGAAGTGGTGGAATCACTTTGGAGGATGTGGCTTCTCAGGGTCCTGGGTCATCTCGTCAGAGGCCTTGTGTTCTTCAAAAGGTGCAACCAATGATCTCCAGAGGCCCTTGACAATGTAGACGTGTTCTGCAGGGGTGAACACCTCTCTGTTGACTAATTCTGACTGGGAGATTGAACCATAAATGCATCATCTCCAGTTTGATTTCAAGGATTTTAAGTTTCCCTGTTTGCTAAATTGAAGGTCACTGAGTTCAGCAAACCTTCAGCAAACCTCTGGAGTTGATTCAGCTGCAGAAAGAAATGGTGTTACCCTTTTATTCATATTTCTCCTGTTCCTGATTTGGAGTGTCTATTTTGAGTTAAATGGGGAAACTCAACTAAATTAAAGAGAGATTTGGTAAATAAATAAATAATTTGTCAGATTATTTTTTTCACCGCATTGCAATGGAAAGCTGTATTTGTTGTCCCCAGACAAGGATGGGTAGAGAAATTTTCCTTGCTATGGTGGTACATTCCAACTTAAGATGTAGATTGTCAAACAATAATGGAGAATAAAGAAAATTAATTTCATGTCCTCTACTCAACTTTTTGCCTCTAAGCCTTTGTAATTAATTTTAATCTGTATTATTTGCATGCAACAGTAATTGCAGCAAGAGTAGTTTTTAAGCATTCTGATTGATAGTGTTTCATACACACTGTCAGCACTGTGAGGTTTTGCAGGACAATGCAACTTTCTGGTCTCTGAAGTCTTTAGGATTCTCATACTTCATGGTGCTCATTGTATTACACTTAATCAGTTTCTTAAATTTGTCAGTTCCAATGCTTTGTGAATTCTTCTGTAAAACTGTAGTCTTTGTCCTCACTTGAAGATAAAGAGATCTAAATCTGCCATCCAAAGGATCCTGATGGCCGTCCTCTGTGGAAATGGCAGTAGATAAAGTTTTTACACTTCTAGGCATGTGTCTGTCACCTGAAGTGCTGCTAAGAGTTGCTTTTGCTATGACATATGTCTGTTCATTTTCTGTGGGGGAGGATAGCATATTGAGTAAAGATGCGGTACCTAAATAGCTGTATTGCATCCTGTGTATGGCCAGGGGTGCCAGACGCTCTTGTCCACCATAAATAAATTCCATCACACTACAGGCTGTTCTATAATAATGCTGGAGACAGTCAACTCTAAGTAAGTGAACTGAACCCTAACTATATGTCAAGCCACTTTTTAAGTTCATATATCTGACGTATGCATTTTTAACTGTAGATGAGATTTGCTGTCTATGTTGTATTTATAGCCTTGTGGTTTTGGACCTACTTTGCAGCAGTTTCTAGTGCTGATGTTGGTATGTTATTTGTGCCTCTTCAGAAGTAACTTAGCTGGATAAAACAAAGTGAAAAAATCTTTTTAATAGTTCTAGTAAAAGATTGTCAGTGTTTGTGAAAATCAGAACATGCGGGCATTGTTTCAAATAAATAGTTTATTGTAGCTGAACAGTAAATTCTTTGATTTTTTTAAATGAAAGTAGTGATTTTTTATATTAGTTATTTACTATCCAGGGTCAAGTTGTGGGTTAGAGATCTGATCAATGGTAAAAGTTGATATAAGCCTTGAAGTATTAAATATGCACTTTAAAAGACAATTTCTTAATCATCTGTAGGGTTAAAATATACTCTTGTTCCACATAGAAATTCTTCTGTGTGCAATGTAGATTTTTTGGCTTTCTCTACTCAAAAAAAAATACTTGAAATAATGACAGTAAATACACATGTTCTACCAGCCTGCTGGTAGGAATGTCACGCTAGGAGGTTGTGCCACTGTATTGAAGTTAGCATCTGCTGCATTGTCATTTGGCTGCTGTGTTTTAATTAGTATAATTCTTTTGGATGTGTGCTTTAGGCTGATTCACATCACCATTTTTTCCATGGTGTTAGTGTTTGTGGTTCCGATGCAGAACCTCATGCAGAAATCAAGTGGGTGTGGGTGATTCTGTCCACATCTGTCTCTTCAGATGTACTGACCTCTGGCCAAGGTGGCTCACCAGTTTGTGATTACAACTTAATCTTGTAAGGAAAGTTGGTATTAACTGTTAGCTTTCCTTGGCATACTGAATTTTAGTTTCTGCCTATGTAGCAGTTGTTTCACAATGCGTCATTTTATCTGGTGTATGGAAAGCAAGAATTTCTAGAAGGATCAGGAGACAAGTGTGGGTGTCAAAATAAACATTCAGCTAATTTTAGTCTGAGTCAGAACATCCCAAGTACCATTACATGAGCATTTTCTCTCATAGCAAGTTCTCCAAAGTTCCTAGCCCAGTGTTGTTGCTTTGGTGCTCTGTAGAGTGAGTAATGCACTGTTGGAGGGCTATGCCATCGTTGGCTACAATGATTTGAGTTAAAACAAAACCAGTAAAGAAGTTGTTAGTTAGCAGGTATGAAGGCACACATTCATGGAAGGAAGCAAGTTGTAGGAAAGGACATTCAGCATGCTAGTTACTCTACTGCTCTGTTGGCTACTTTAATGTGACACGCTTAATTTTAGATGTTTAAGTAAGGTAGTCATCTAGGCTGCTTTACACCCAAGGACCAGAAATAAGTGCCTCTAGATGTTAATTCATCCTATATGCCTATTTATTTGTTTGCTTACAAAGTGGGCTTTGCTGTTTGACATTGACATCTAAGCATCTGAAACTGGGTTTGGTACGCAATAAGAGGCAGCTTTCTGTAGTTAAGGGTCACCTTGCATATGCATCTAATGCATATTTAGGGAATTGTTCTTGTAAGAATTCTTAACAGAGAAGTAGTGCTCCGTATGTTAATATCATAACCTAGTTTACTTTGTAGTGTGTTGTTTTGTTGGATTTTTCTTTTGGGTGAACAGGCCCTTAGATAAATTTTTAATTGACATATTATTATTATATAAAAGCAGGGGTAGCTTATATGAAAAACATTGATGAAGCAGAGAAATGTTTTGAATACAAAGAACATTATTTTGTCCAGTAGATGACTTTCATGTATTCCAAGCTAGGCTCTCTGTTGCACCACTGTCAAAGGCTGAGAATTCATAGATGTGTCAATTGCTGCAACCGTTTGTTAATTTCCCCATGATATTTATGGTGGGAAGTATAAGTCTTATCTTTTTCTTCTAGGTTGACAATTGCATTTTTCGCACTCTCTGGTCTGGATATGTTGGATTCCTTAGATGTGGTGAACAAAGATGATATAATAGAATGGATTTATTCCCTGCAGGTCCTTCCCACAGAAGACAGTGAGTGAGTTTTTAGTTTTTTTAATTGATATTAATATTTTTACTTTTGCTTTTTACTTGGGAAATAGCGGATGGCTCTTGTTTTTATAAAATACAAGGTTGACCTTCCTGAAGTACAGTCACAATAATTTCAGGTAGTCATGTTGAGCAGATCTTGGATATCAATCATCACAAATAATAAAGCTAGAAAAAGTAGAAATTAATTTGACGATCAGACAGTATAAAATAATATAATAAAGTTACACCTTTAGGCATTTCAGAGGAATATTTCACCTGGTTCTAAAAAAATGCATATGTTGTAAAACTGTTACAAGTCTAATAGTGATTATATTGATTTCCACTCCAATGCCAGGAGCTGTGATCACAGGAGCTGTGTTTTTTTACAGCAGCTTTTGGAGGTTTGGAGGTGTAAGGATAAGAAGCAAAAAGGATAAACACAGTCCCTGCTTGATGTTCCTTAGATCTGTGAAGGATGAAGTTTTCCAAGGTTTTTAGAAGGAATAACACTGCTGCTGAATCCCAGCTGCCCTCAGGTTGGAAGGTGCAAAGCTGGCAAGGGTGCTTGCAGGAAATGTCCCTTTCCTGGTTGGTTTGACAGAAGTTGGGGAGGTGCTGTTCCTGGGCTGGTTGGTTTTGGCAGTTTTTTCTGCCGCAGCCCAGGTGAATGGCTGGTAGCAGTAGAAGGGGTGGGAAGGAGGGAGGGAGATGTGGCTGAGGCACTGCTGCTCTATGACAGAAGGTGCTGACATGTTAAATGCTGGTGTGGGCATAGCTCCAGGCTGGTGGTCTTTAGAGAAAAGGCAATTCCAGTAGCCTGTACGTAAAATCATGTATACATCCATCCATGTACTTTGGATGGATGAAGGTGGAAAAATGTGTATTTCCTCCCATTATTTATTTTAATTATATACAACAAATAGGGTCTCTAAATACAATAAGTTAGGTCTCTAAAATCAGTTTTATGAAATAAGCATATGGAAGTCAGGACTGCTAATGCTTTTTTTTTAGTAATAAAAAAATCCTTTTTCTTATTCTGGAGATTAGAAACCATAGGAACTAGTTCTGATAGATTTCTTTTTTCTTGCATTGCATTCCAGGACTGGTTCTTGAAAAATAGGAGTTTGGATTATATAAATATTCCTACGAAGTTTTTTAATTATTAGAAGGTTCTTGTGCCTTATTGTTAAGAAATTCTTCCACAGTGTACATGCTTTGTTTCTAGGAGTTACTCACTTTGAGACTTTTATCTCAGTCTTCAGGACTTAATTCCAAAAGAAGAGGGAAGTTGGCAAGAAAAGAGATCAGAACAAGCATTTCTGTTTGTTTGTCTTTGATAGTATGCAGTAATTCTCTGGGAATTCTATCTGATGAGTTTTTAGAATATGGCCATTGTCTAGAGCCTCCTAGGGAGGGCAGTAAAAATATCAGCATGCAGATGTGGAGGCTGACAGTGCAGCAGAGGTGTACTTCTTTTTCTAGCAATCATCCCCTCATAAAACTGGGGAGTTTTGGGGAGGGCACTTTTGGCAGTGCACTCTGTGCTTTCCAAGTAATAAATCTGATTTTCAGTAGAAGAACGAGCTGCCCTTCAGTCCTGTATTTTTGTATCATACTGTAATAACTCTTGTTCTTCCTATACTTTTGGTAATAACACTGTTCTTATCTGCTAAAACTAAAATACTGCTAAAACTTCAGTGTCATTGGTATTTAAGTTTTGCTTTTTCTGTTGGACCATAGAAAATGAAAAAATGTAAATGATGCTGATAGCAGCAGGTTGGATATTGAATGACTAAATGTGAACAAGGAAACACCTATACTCTGGTAATGTCTACTTCCATTGTGAAATGTATTGGCTCTGTTTTCTAATCCTGAGTGAGTGCAATGCTTGTTAATTGGCAGCCTCTCAACAGCAGAGCTCCTACTCCCTCTTTCGGCCTCTTTGAAGAAGTGCCTAAACTGTGGTAGGCTACAGCGCTGAAGTTTTTGTTTCAAAGTGCTTGTGCATCTCTAGTTAAAGAGGAGATTGCTAGGTTGGTGGTTTGGAATCTATCTAGATTAAAAAAAATCAAGAAAGCACAACATTTTACTTTTAAAGAAACATGCTATTGCAGCATTCTTTTCATGCATTCTGATAAATGTCTCTTTCCACTGAATATTGGTTTATAAAAATTTAAATTAAAATACCCTTTAATAATGATGAATTCCACTAATCTAAAGTAACTTCATTGTATTCAATGAAAGTCTTCACTAAGTTTGGCTCTGGGACTGAAACCAGTTTAAAAGCTACATTTTAAATGGTAATATGCTTTTACAGAGTCTCGAAGTTTGTTCTTGATGGCATCAGTGGTTGAATTTTCAACCAAAAAGTCAAAATGAGAATTCCTGTAATTTTTATTAGAAAAAATATTTTCTTTGTTTTTCATGTTTGTCCCTCCAAAAGTTCCTTTCTGCACAGCACTTAACTTGATTTTTATTAAAAGCATTTTTTAAATATGGTAAATTCATATTGTTTTGAGAACTACTGCTATCTTAGAGTCTTTTTTCCAGTGGATGGAAGACAGAGTGGTTGGTGCTCCGCAAACTTAGTATCTGTTCATTTTTATCAATAACTGTTATAGTAGGTGTACTGGCTGGGCTAGACCTATTTTTTTTTCATAGTAGTCTCTAAACTGCTGTGTTTTGAGCCTGGTACTAAAAGGGTGTTTTAGTCTTTCAGCTGTTGCTGAGCAGTGCCAGTCAAGGCTGTCTCTTTTTTCCTCCTCTGTGCTCCTTTTCCCATGGCAGATACAGCAGGAGACACAGACAGGACAGCTGACCCAGGCTCACCTCAGGATTGTCCAGAGGGACACTCCACACCATCTAACTTCATTTTCAGCAATAAAAACTTGGGAAGAGAAAGAGAACGGTGGCAGTGTTCATGGTTCTGGCATTTGCCTTCCTGAATAACCCTTACTCTTGCTGAGGCCCTGCTTTCTGGGAAGTGACTATGCATCTGCCCAGCTGATAGAAGTAGTGAATTAATTCCTATTTTGCTTTGCTGTGTGCCCACAACTTCTGCTTTACCTATCAAACTGTATCTGTCTCACTCTGTGAGTCTTCTCTTCATCTCTCTGTTTTCTTGCCTCAGATGCTGGTTGGAGTCAACCCACTACAGCAGAGTGTTACAGAACCTGCTAGAAAATTCAGAATTTGATGATTTAGAGGAGTTCTTAGATAAAGTCTCCCTGTGATAGTCTTAATTGACATGTTTGTATTTTACTGATATGTAATATGTCTGATTGTTGATAATAACTTCAGAGGTCTGTAGCCTTTGAAATTTTATGTGAAACTAAAACTCACAAATTGTGAGATCTTGATCTACTGAGTAAGAAAGCAAACATATGCTGTGTCAGCCTAATCAAAACACACTTAAGGAAGCTGAGGATTAGGGTCTGTCAGGATAGACTGTATTCTTCTGTGGGTTTATTGTAGCTGTGATTCAAACAAAAAGTGTCCTTTTGGTACCATAATTTTAGCTCAAATCTTCCAGAGACTGGCTCAATACCAGTTCTAATTTAGAGGGAATGGCACGTCACATGTGTGAACTGAGCCTAGCACAGAAGCACATTCTTAGCTGATTGCTTCCACACTGCCTTCTGGTTGTTTGAAGGGTTTCTGTCTTCTATAACTTATGCTAAATAGTTTAGCTAAATCTTGCACAGATTTTGGCCATTGTTACCTTTCCTTCCCTTTTTAGTGAATGCTTTGCTTAGGTGCAGAGCTGCTATGTGTTTTTGTTTTGTTTGTGCTCGCTGCAAGAAGACCTGAATATATTTCCTCTTAGAAAGAAGTTGAAATATTGAAAAGTGCTTTTTTCTTTTTTCATTTTGAGGAGGGTAACGCTGTTTTACACAGAAATTTTACATTTTTAGATTAAAACATTATTTTTTGAAGTGCTAGTGAAATTGGGAAAGAGTTGACAAAACGCCTTCTTTTAACTAGTTGCTTGTTCTTAAGATCATTATGTCAGTGTTTTACTGTTTTTCCTCTCATAGTGCAGCTCCTTGACAGAATTTCAAATTTATTTTAACTACCTAAAGTGCAGCTCATAGCAATTTAAGAAGATGTATTCCGGCTTTTTGCAAGTCAGATTCAGGGCCAGTTCAACACTTTTAAAAGAGAGTGAATCCGGAGCTTTGTACTCAAGTAATCTAATTACACAGTGGAAGCACACTGCTTGGTCATGTTTATCCACCATCCTCCCCCATAGGAACAGTGGCATTTGTTTGACCCTGCTTGAGAGCTTGCTGCAGTGACAGAAAAACACGTACTTATTTATCTAACAGAAGGTTATTTTTGTGTTGCACTGGTGAACTGAGTTGATTGGAAGTGCCAGTGTCAGCTCAGTACAAAAGGAAGAAAATTGTACTCTTTGACAGCTGGATGCTTCACTAGCTTTGCTGTACTAAGAAATTGGACCAAAAGGAAAACCAAAACATATTTTATTTGTTGGTCTGAATCCCCAGGACCCATGGATACAGGACTGAAAACCAGTATGCTACATGACAGACCTAAAATTTACTTCTGTCAGAGTCTAAATTTAGATTTGTATTAAGGATTCTTTCTTATGTGGCAGTACTGAAAAAAATGTATTAAATGACATTGACTTTTTTTTAAATCATTGATGCACATGAGCTTTCTGATCATGAGTTTCTTGAGCAAAAATACAAATTTTCCTCCAGCATAACTTTCTTTTGTGCTACATTTTAAGTATTTTTCTGGATGTATAATGGACTTCCATTTTAGAGAATGCAACTTTTCATTTAGTGACATCCTCTAGTACTTTGATTTACAGGAATAATTACAAACTCTAGTTCAGTGAGAAGAGCTTATACATACTTTTTTTCTGGATGTACTGACTGATTCAGCCTATGCTAAAGCTATGATTTTTAAAATATATTAAAAGATTTTAGTTATGTATGTAAACCCCTGTACTTAGCAGAAGGAGACAGGCCTTGTAGCCAGAGGAATGCATGGATAATCTGAATGTGAAAAATTAGTGGTAAAAGTTTATCAATACTTCCATGTAGGAGAAATCATAAAACATAAATAACAAAAATGCCCTGTAAAAAAAAGAGCTCTTAGGATAAGTTGACTATGGTCATCACTTGAAGTTATTTTACATATTTTAAGGGCTTTCTAGCATAAGGACACATAAGTAACATCTTTTTCTTCACAGGAAAGTTTCAGCTCTTGATTTAAGCATTAAGTCTTTTGGTTTTGGAAAAGGGTCAGTTTTCTTTAGTTGTCAAATGTGAAAGGTTTTTCGAGGTATGTTTTTTTCAGCTTTCAAACCACCACAAATAGTTACACAGCAGTTTATGAAATATTTGTTACCTTCTGCTCTGTCTTAAACTCCTGCAGAAAGTGGCTAAGTAAGGTTGATGGTGGAAGTGAACACCAGGTGGTACCATTTCACAGCTGGACTTGAGCTGATGCAAACTCTGCTGGAGCTGAACTGGCCACTCCAGTTTTTCCACAAGGGACATAGGCTGCAATCACATCCTTTTAATGTGGGTCTATTTAGTTTTTAATTCTGATTCTGACAGTCCATTTTTGGCTCAGGAAAGTGAAGAGTTTGACTAGAAGTACTAAGCTATTATGTAAAAAAAGAAGTATACAAGTGAATTGCAATAAAATAGTAAAGCAAATTTTACAGAAGGTTAAATTTCACATTGTAAAGTTTCTTTCATAAACTGAAAGATAGTAATTTTCTATAACTCACCTTTGGTTCTCATTTGATTTTCAACTTGTATGCTCACAGGATGTTAAAAAATTTTTTTGAGACACAAGATCAGTGTTCCAGAGTCATGTGGTTAAAAACAAGCTGTTTTCACTTCCTGTTTTAATACTTCCTTTATCAACTCAGAATTCTATTTTTTACTTCACATATTGTGACTAGAGATTTAGCAACTCACTTGTAATAGTCTAGGAAGCATTACTGCAAGCACATTAATGCATTTGAGGACAGGATAAAATTCCCTGCAAAGTTTACCCTAAAGTTTTCCTTGAAGGACGTGCTGGTCTTCTGGTTTTCCTAGGAGCCAGTGTGTGAAGTTTGGAGTGGGAGATGAGAAGTACTGACAAAAAGTGTCAAAATAAATTTTAAGTTCATAGCAATACAGTTAAAAATCTTAACTTTAAATCCAATTTTAAAATTGCAAATGCTGTTTTCTAGTTGATAGAAGTTTAGTAATACAAGAAAGGTTTTAAAATAGTACATGAAAATTTAAACATCTAAAGGGAGTAATAGATCATTATTTCATGAATGTACTTTATTTTTAATATATTTTGTATAGCATCTGTGATTCAGCAATCAGAGTGACCTACTAAGAGCACAGAAACTTGGGTTTCATGCTGCCATTTCTACCTTGATAACGAATTATAAGCTACACTCCAAATGGCCAGTGATGGGGATCAGTATTTCTGTGATGAAGCCTTCCATCTATCAGCTGTCAGCTGAGTCCTGTTCAGCTGCAGATCTGTCTGAATTGTAACATGTAGCCTTTGCAGCAGGCGAGGATTAGCTGTGTTAGTAGCATAATAACTCTTTCCTGGATAAAAGGTTTCCACACCACTATCATGTAAAACTGAGTGTTATAGTTTGCTTAAGCACTTAAGAAACAGGTTCATTTTTACTGAAAATGAATGTGAATGGTGATTTTTTTTTTTTTTCCTCCCACTATGTTGTCTAGGAAATCTGGGACTTATGGGGTAGGAGTCCTCGGTCTTCTCTTACTGATTTTTTAACAGTGTGTCAGTTTTGAAATTGTGATACTTTTTTGGGCAGTGTCCTTTGAGACCTTAGATTAGTCTTTAAGACTCATTTAATTTTTCTTTCATTCTAGAGGCTGAGGCAAGATGAAATGCACGTTTTTGACTCTGCAAATGAACAGACAAGTGTTCTCTGCTGAAAATGTTTATATTATAATAAAATAAAAATGTTATTAATTTTTTATTTCTGTTTCCTCTGTGTAGATCAGACTATGGCACACCAGCTTTTAAGCAGGCTGAAGTTGCTTTTGTTGCATATATAGAGTCATTGAAAAGTACTTTGGACTGGACTGTGGAGGAAGTGGAGAATTGCAAGTGTTTCACTCCAAGTCAGCTCCAAAGACTTGTCTTGCAGAGAAACTTGCATACTTCAGGCCAAGTTGAAATTCTTAATCTAATAAAACCATTCTAGTTTAAATTTTGCATATATACAGAATATATTTAGAATTAGAAGGTAGTTTGCTGCTAAATTACACCAGAGCTTGTAGGTCACATTGCATAGTGATGTTACTTAGAGCTCTCAGCTTTATAATTATTCATTCTTATTTATTCTGGTGCAATTTTCTCTAATATCCATGAGGATTTTTAGCTTAAAGGCTGAATAACTTAAAAGAGGTGGATTGTCTTTAAGAACACCCAGCTGCTGTTTGACTGTGGCATTCATTAGTTTTTTAGTGTCAGACACTAAGCAGTAAACAACGGAGGTTTTGCCATGCAAAAGCATGCTTGAGCCCTGCAAAGCTGTACTTACCTCTTGACAACGTTTGGTTCATGGTTCTGTGTGCCACATGCTCAGGTATTGTGATGGGTTTGAAACAAATTACACTGTATCACTGACAGAAATTTTTTTCATAGCTACAATGTGCTTAAAACTGTAAATTGTTTATCTTTGAACATGTTGTGAAGTGTCTTGAAACAGTTCTGCTTGGGAACAGATGGTATTACCAGGCAAGAATCCAGAGAGGAGAAAAAAATATGTTACCTCTGGCCATTTTCCCAGGGGAGCAGTCCTTTTCTCTTTTTCGCTTGTGAGCATGGAAGACAAGTCTGTGGTGACACTAACTGTATTTCCACCAAATTAAAAAAAAAAAAAAAAAA